TTTCACTCAGAAGCAATGTGATAGAGACTTTAGTGTAACTCAACCGAAAATGTAACGGTTGTCTGCATGTGAAGCTATCTTTCTCTGCACAGGTATTAGCAAAAGAAGAATGCATGAACAGCTGCTATTCAACTTTTGTACTCTTTTCTGCTGTTTAGGTTTTTTTTTTTTTGAGTTGGAGTCTCACTCTGTCGCCCAAACTGGAATGCAGTGGCCGCCCCTAGCCACCGCAGCCTCAACCTGCTGGGCTCCGGCAATCCTTCCACCTCAGCCTTCCAAGCAGCTGGAACTACAGGCGTGCACCACCATGCCCGGCTGATTTTTTATTCATTGTAGAGATGAGGTCTCACCAAGTTGCCCAGGCAGGTCCCAAACCCGCGGGCTCAGGCAATCCACTCACCTCAGCCTCCCAAAGGCACGGGATTACAGGCTGAGCCACCAAGACTGGCTTGCTATTTAGATTTTAACAGCCACTGAGAGCTCAGTGATGCTGTGGTGACAGCAGCCTGCATTGCATTGTTAATTCTGGTTCCAGTTCAGAAGTTAGTTCTTGGCAGCTAAAGGCATCTCTCTCTTAGTGAATACACACATATTAAGTTGGAGAGTGGCTTCAAGTGTATGAGACAGACGGTACTTCCATAGGCCACAGCTTCAGAGCTTATTTTAACCTGACCTATATAAACAAAAGCTTTCATTTAACTAGAGTAGGATTTGGATAAACTTCAAGAACTGTTTGTGCAGCAAAGGCGTAATTTTTGTTTCGTAACAAGTTATGCATGTTCCACAAACTTAACAATTTGCAAGCCTCAAAGGTGAGTCAAACGTATCATCCCTTGTCAAACAGGCTGTTCACTGGATAAATTGACAACTAGTGGTAATTAGGTTTTTTCCCCTGAAAATTTTTTATAGTGTTCTGCAAAGCTATCACCCTCTGAAGAAAAAACAAAAATATTACTTATCCCCTATCTCCAAAAACCTTGGCAACTGTATGGCCCCTAAATTAAGTTCTGTGTGGAAATTTCATCTGTTAGAGAAATTCTCTCCGTTTGGGCCCTAAAAGCTATAGTTTATTTCTAACTATAGTTCTGTTTGCTGCATCTAGAAGTAGGTGGAACTATAAATACTTTGTTCATTGAATGAATGGGACATCTTCCAAATTAGCAATCTGCAAATGTTTTAAAGCTTCATGGAGGAAAGGACACTTTCAGACATCATCACTAAGAGTTTGGGTGTTTTTTTTCCTCCTAGAATCTTGATATCCTTATCATTTAATACATGAGCATTGACTCTTGGGAGCTTTGAGTGAAGGTTGATAGAAAGTAATAGCATCTGGGTGTGGTGGCTCACACCTGTAAATCCCAGCACTTTGGAAGCTGAGGCAACAGAGAGGATTGTCTGAGCCCAGGGGTTTGAGACCAGCTTGTGCAACTTGGCGAGACATCGTCTCTACAATAAATCAAAAAATTAGCCAGGTGTGGTAGCGTGTGCCTGCAGTTCCAGCTACTTAGAAGGCTGGGGCAAAGACTGCCTGAGCCCCACAGGTTGAGGCTGCAGTGGCTGTGCGTGTGCCACTGTACTCCAGCCTGGGTGACAAAGTGAGACTCTGACAAAAAAAGAAAGAAAAAAACTGCAGGATTTTTGTGAGCCATAAGAATCTCCTTTATAGAAGGAAACAGGCACATGGAGATTCCGAATTCATGCCAGTGACATAGGCAGTCCAGTCCTGATCAGGGAACTATGGGGCATTTTTTTCATTTAAAATAATCTAATCTGTATTTAGCTGGGAGCTAGAAAAGTTTCAAATAGCTTCAATTTTCCTTAGAGTGGCAAAATCCTTACTACTCCGTCACCCCAACATTTTAAGAAAAATAGGCTCTAGCCGGGCTCGGTGGCTCAGCCTGTAATCCCAGCACTTTGGGAGGCTGAGGTGAGTGGATTGCCTGAGCCCGCGGGTTTGAGACCCACCTGGGCAACTTGGCGAGACCTCATCTCTACAATAAGTCAAAAAAAATTAGCCGGGCGTGGTAGCACGTGCCTGTAGTTCCAGCTACTTGGAAGGCTGAGGTGGAAGGATCGCCGGAGCCCAGCAGGTCGAGGCTGCGGTGACCGGGAGCAGCCACTGCACTCCAGTCTGGGTGACAGAGTGAGACTCCAACTCAAAAAAAAAAAAAAAAAAGAAAGAAAAATAGGCTCTAACTTGGGCTGCCTCTTGGAGCAGAATGTCTGACTTAGAGCTCTCTGAAGTCCTGTAAGATATTGCTGCAGGCTCAGAGGAAGACTAAGTAAGACGTGTGGGCATCTGAACAGAGAATTAGGCAATTATGTTAAACTGGCACTTAATTTTTAAAATTAACCTAACATTCCAGTTCCAGGAAGCATGGACATTAACTTCAGACAGCTGACATGGCAGCTGTGAGCAGGATGTAGTTACCTCCATTGGCAATGATGAAACATCTAGTATATATCTAGGGCTAGAGTGATAGCAACACATCGTGAATCTCAGCTATCTCATCACATAATTAATACATCTAATGATAAGTAACTTTTGATGTAAGTCTCAGAAAGGAATCTTACTGCCTCCTGTTTGTAGCTGTGTTGGTAGCTGGTACCCATGGCATTTGGCAGACCATCAGATCTACCTGGTAAGCTCACTTGCTGATGACACTCCAGCTGTGGACAGAAGTCTCTCTCGCCTGTGATTTGCCTTAGCTGGTTTTGCTCAGCAATGGGAAGTACAGTCTAGGGGAATGGTGGAATTGGTCCTTTTGTTCTGTGCCCGTTTCTCTAAAGGCCAAAGACTGAACTCCGAACGGAGATGGCAAAGTGACTAAAAGGGGGTATCCATGAGGAAACTAGAGGAAACAATTAAAAATATGAAATTCTGAAAGTTTTGAACCTCATATAAGTTACAATCAATTGTTTACTCCCAGTGGAGATTCCAATGTAAATCAGCTCCTAATTAGAGGAAAATGCAGGTAGAGCTATACAAGCAGGGAAATGACCCAGACACCTGCAGTCATTTCTTTAGTCAGTAGAGGTCAGTAGCTCCCACAGTTGGCATGACCAAGTGTTGCTAATTCACCTTCAACAAGGATTGCAGCTTGAGGAATATTTGAAAAATACAAGGAAAGGAAATCAACTATTTTATAGCTTTTTATTATACATATTTATAAAAGTAACACTTTTGCCTGGGAAATTGTTTTCACCCACATCACCCATATTTGAAAGTATTATACTGAAGTATAAACTCGAACTAAGGCCAGGTAGGATGAGTAATACTGGGGCCCATAACAGAGGCCCTGAGGCTTTCCTGACGGCCTCAAAGGAGGCTTCTCTGATTTGACCTGGAGCCAGAGTGGAGGCAGAAGTCAGCAAGCAGGATTTTATTCCTGCTTCATCCACAGGATCTGGTGTTGGTGAAAATGAAAACTGTCCATTTTGATGCCTGTTCAGTCACAAAAGAGAAAGCCATGTGCATGTTACTTTTCTCAGGGGAGGTTGGAAAATGGTGAAAACCATGATTTCATCTAGTATACATTTTTTTTTTCCTCATATACTTTTCAGCCAAAATCTTCTCCTCATGTCAAGATATGCAACTGTATCCAAAGGGTGGAAATGAATTAAAAAACAAAACAAAACACAGGAGTTAACTATGACCAAATGATAGAAATAGAAGCCAATGGACATTTTCACAGTGATCAAAGAACCCAAAAGCTGGTCCTTTCAGACTGATACCAGTTGTTTTCTACAGATTTTTTGGAGATGGTGTAGCCTCACTGCTGGCCTGAGAAAGAATGGTGGTTACTTTTAGGATAGAACCGTCTGCCCTCCTAGTTGGTGGCTGGAGCATCTTTCCCCATAGCACAGAAGGCTGTGAAAGTTGTAGCAAGCACTCTGAAAAAAGACCTACCCGTAGCTTATGGATGGGAGGACTCTACTACAGTGACCTGGACAAAAGCTGAAACGTTCATTTGTGGTCAACTGTGGCGTTGGAATGTATTTCTCATAAAGAACTTTTGGTGGATTTTCTGGTGCTACAGAAAAAAACAGCAAATGGTCCTTCGAGTGTAATATTAGTGTAGAACAAAGCAAAGGGGTAAAACAATGAAGGTTATAGCAGAAAAGAAATAGTGATTTCATTTTAAGATGAAAGACCTTCCTGAAAGAATCCAGGTACTTTGGTCCTGTCCAGCCCTGTCAGCATTTTGTTTGAAATTGAACCTTTGAAGCACCATATGCTTACCATCACCGTGTATCTAGGGGGAAAACAAGGAGGTCTTAATAGCCATTCCCTCACCCTGACCCCTTCAGGACAAGCTGAGTCTTGAGCTGGGGAAGTCAGCAGCACTCTTCTAAATAGGTGGGATCAGTTTTGCAAAGCATTCAGTATCTCCTCAGAGTCTTGCCCTCAGAGGCAGGTTCAGAACCACAGGCATGTGCATGTGGACGAGATGTGACTCAGCAGAACAGCTACTGTGTGGTGCCCTGGGGCGGGAAGTGCTGATAAGGGTTCTCTGCTCCTGAAGAAACCCCTGATAAAATGAGTTCCTGAACACGTATCAGAGGGAGTCTCAGCTCCAGGTCTTGGCTTTTAGTAAGGCTCCCCTGGGAGGGAATAACCCCAGAATCAAAAAAGAGTGTCCCTCCCAGCCCTGTCTGCAAAATGAAAGGTGAAGGAAGTTTTTATTCTCCCATACAGAATAGTCCAGGCCACAGACCTGGGGTTTCCCTCCTTGTAACTTCAGTGTATCTGAGACTCCAAGTGACACCTGCCTACACTCTTCCCGTGGCCTGTAGCTCCTGGGGAGCATCTGTGTGACTGCCCACATCTCAGAATGGACACCTGGGAGTAGAAAACTAAAGCCTTGGTGCAATGAGATCAGCAGTCCTAGATGCTGGAGGCACACAGACCTGTGTGTGTATCACACAGTTTTCCCCGACGGAGGAAGGTGGGGGAAGAAACTGCAGATGCTGAAAGGTAAGCCCCCTTCTGCTGAGAGGAGGACAGAATGGAAAATCTTATAAAAACAGGTGCCTGGAATGCATTGACACACAGCCTCCAGACCAGAAGAGAAGGGAGACAGAAAGCGAGGCTGGGGCAGAAGCAACAGGCACTCAGAGCATGCGTGACACTGTCGTGAGCCTGGGAGACAGGAGTAGGAGCCCCCCTGGATACAGTCCACACGGTGTCTCCAGGGCCACTCCCCCAAGGGCTGAGTCAGGGCTGCCCAAGTGCTGACCTACCTGCCCACCTTCCCCTTCCTCCTCCCAGCAGATGCTGTCCCCGGGGGCCCATCTCCGCTGTGGCTTAGCTCCCACGGGTGGCACTTCGCTGCCAGTGTGCCAGTTACAGCGAAGTCTCATTGGTGTGTGGCCTGGAGTTCTCCTCCTCCAGCAGGGCTATCCTCTGCTTGAGCATCCTCACTTGGGTCTCGTGTCTCTCCACCATGGCCATCATCTGCGACTCCAGCTTCTTCAGCTTGTTTTGATGCTTCTTCTTTGCTTTCTCATAGGCAGCCACCAGGTTGCTGGGTGGGGACAGAAGCAAAAGCGTGAAGATTCATTCTAAGTAGCATTGGAACACTGTCCTGTCCACTGGGTCACAGGCCCAGTAAGCACCACTCTGGAGATACAGCACTCGGCCTCTCCGGTAAGAATCTGAAATCAAGTGGGGAGAAGAGGCAGCACCAGGACTTCACCAACTCAGGGCTAGCCATCTACTGGCTTAAGCTGGTGAGTCCAGCCTGACTGCTGGAGGCTTGTCACGCTCACATAATAGAAAGGCTTCTAAGGGTCAAACCAACCGTCCGGATTGGCCAGAGCCAAAATAAATACATAAATACAAAAAGTAGCTGAATTCCAGAAAGCTGGCATTTAAATAGAAATAGTGAGTCTAGGCCAGGCATGGTGGCTCACCCCTGTAATCCCAGCACATTGGGAGGCCAAGGCTGGAGGATTGCTTGAGCCCAGGAATTTGTAGAACCTGGTCTCTACAAAAAAAATCAGGAAATTAGCTGGGCATGGTGGTGCACACCTGTAGTCCCAGTTACTTGGGATATTGAGGTGGAAGGCTCACCTGAGCCCACAAAGCTTTAATAATGCTCCCCAGAGAGGAAGAAACTCCAGAAGAAAGTGCCCTTCCCAGCCCTGTCTCCAAAATGAAAGATGAAGGAACTTTCTGTCTTTGTACTACAGGATTGTTGAGGCACAGGACTAGGGTGGGTCATGATTGTGCCACTGCACTATACCCTGGCTGACAGAGACCTCGACTCAAAAAAAAAGTCTGTCTGTTGCTTCATGCTTCCCACAGAGCCAAGTGTACGCTTCAGGAGAGTGTCCCTGAGGCACTGCCATCAGAGCTTTTCTTGCTCAGACTTAACTTCATGCTTTGCTGGTGGGACTCAGAGTACTCAATCAGGCCATAAGCTAATGCTGCCAAGCCATACACAGAATAGACAGGCCTCTGAACTGTCCTCACCAGAGCCTGGTGGGTGAGGGAAGGGGGTGAGCCCAGGTAAGTCCACATCCCCTCTTAGCCCCAAATGGCACCCAGGTCCCTCATAGTCATTACTCCTAAAGCTGCAGTTCTCCCAAGCCGTCTGAGGACGGGCCCTGGGGATTCTTAAAATCTGGTTGGGGGTCTGTGAGGTCTTGATTTTTTATTTCCATCTACAGAGCTGCATAAAGCCAGGTGTTGTCAGCAGACATCCAAGTAATACGCTGAGTCAGAGACAGATTTTTGTGAAAAAAATTTTTAAATAAAAATACTATTTGTATTATATCTAGTGACTTTTAAAAATGAATAAACACTTTTGAAAGTTTACCTTGGTTTTAGCTTCTATTATGAAGTATCAAGGAATGTCATTTATAGGAACGAAGGCTCTTTTGAGGTGCTCAATTTTTTATCAATGTAAAAGAGTCTGAGCCCAAAAGTTTGGAGACTGCCGTCTCACAGCAGTGTTTCCTAAATTGTTCTACTGGGTGTTAAGTGTTGCTCAGATAAGAAATTCTGAAGCCAGTTTTGTGTGGAAAACACTGGCTCAAACACAAATATTCTTTATATGACTTCTCATAACCTTTAAGAATTGAAACGATCGGGAGGAGACCACAGTAGGCCGCATCTGGCCACAGAACACATCTTGACCGAGCATTTCTCACAGGTTTCTGTGGACACCTCAGGAGTTGCTGCTCTGGGGAAGGCCAGGCTCCCAGAGGGGTGGGTGAGGACTCACAACTCTCTCCAGCTGCTTCCCAGGAGCTGTGCTACAGTATGCTGCTGTCAGCCCAAGTGCTACCAGGAAGGTACAGGAGAAGCTCACCTGTTGGCCCGCTTCAGGTCATTAACAAACTCCGCAGACTGCTGATGGCGGATTTCACTGCTTTTGGTGAGTCTTTCCAAGGCACTCACCAGCTCTTGAACTCTGGCCTTCAGCTTCTTCTCTCTGTGTCAAGGAGAGACAAACATGCTTATGAGTAGCTTGAGAGGATGGTTGTGGCTGCTACCTTGGGAGTGGTGGCAGAAGGGAGGAGGAAGCTTAGCTTGCTAGGTCCAAAGGCAAAGTGAGAAAAGGGAGATTCTAAAGGCCTTAGGAGTGTGGCCGTCACCAAGTAGGATACCTCCTCACCACTGCCTTCTTAGAGGTTGATTTGAGTCTATATCTCTTTAATGATAAGGACCCCTTAAAGATCTCAGTATGTGCCACAAAGGAACAAGACAGGAATTGTTTCTAGTCTTCTAGATAGCGAACCTGGAAGTTCTTTTCTGCTATTAGCATAACAGATCCTCAGAAATGAGTGCAGCCTAACCGCTAACCCCAGTCTCGGTCTTCACACACTTCTCTCTCTTCTTATTGAGTAGGAGTCTCATTCTGTTGCTCAGGCTGGAGTGCAGTGGCACACTCACAGCCACCACAGCCTCAACCTGCTCAGGCAATCCTTCCGCCTCAGCCTTCCAAGTAGCTGGAACCATAGGTATATGCTACCATGCCTGGTTAATTTTTTTATTGTAGAGATGAGGTCTCGCCAAGTTACCCAGGCTGGTCTCGAATTCCTAAGCTTAGGCAATCTTCTTGCCTCTGCCTTTCAAAGCGCTGGGATTACAGACGTGAGCCACCATGGTCAGGCTCCTCTTTTTTTGAGATGCGGTGTCTGCTGCCCAGGCTGGAGTGCAGAGGTGCAGATCTTAGCTCACTACAGCCTTGACCTCCTGGGCTCAACCCATCCTTCTTCCTCAGCCTCCTAAATAGCTAAAACTACAGGCATATGCTACCATGCCAGACTAATTTGTTTTCATTTTTGTAGAGACAGGTTGGGTGTCCCACTGTATTGCCCAGGCTGATCTCAAATTCCTAGCTTCACGTGCTTAGATTAGCCTCTCAGTGCTTAGATTACAGGTGTGAGCCACTGCACCCAGTCCACACCCTTCTTTTCCAGGTGTTCTGACCATCTCCCGAACCACTTAGGGGATCAATGACACAAACCTCTGTTGGGCCTAGGCTGCCTATCCTACTAGACAAGTCCCTACTTACTGAAACTAACATGATCCTAACCTTGCAAAAAGCATAAAAATGTAGTGGTAAATATGTAGAATGTAGAATGGATACTCTTTTCATTGGAAAGATCTTTCCCATAAAAGTACATTTGCACTTGCACTTGACCCCCTCCACCCCACCAAGCAGCTTCGAGTGCTGTGGACTCTAGTTGAGTAACTGAGAAGTCAGTTAAGGGAGCTTGCCAGCATCCAGTTAGCCTGTTGCCTTCCTCCATTCCCCACAAGGGCACAAGACCCATCCTGGGCGACAGAGGGAGATCCACCTCAAAACAAACAAAACTTTTTTTTTTTTTTTTTGAGTTGGAGTCTCACTGTCGCCCAGACTGGGAGTGCAGTGTCCGCTCCCGGCCACTGCAGTCTCGACCTGCTGGGCTCTGGCGACTCTTCCGCCTCAGCCTTCCGAGTAGCCGAGTGCAGATCGACATGCACTGGCAAGGAAGCCCATCTGATACATGAGGTGAAAGGGTGAGTTCTGTAGTTCTATAACTTTTGCAAAAACAACTAAACCTGAGTGTGAATGCCTGCCATGCTGTAACTACAGACCAAAAGGCCAAACACAAAGTCAACAATGGTTAACTCACGAAGGGGACAGGACAGCAGCAGGCTTACACTTTCTCCTTCCTCACTTTTGTGTTGCTTGGAATTTTTACACAAAGTATGTGAGTTAGAGTCGGTAGGAGGGTGACCTCAGGGTAGAAGACTCCTTTCAGGTATCTGGATGGTTCAGCTCCTGGCTCTCCCTTCCTGGCTTTTCAAATATTGATGCTTTTGTTTGTGCCTCCAGTTACTGGTTAGGCCAGCTCCAATTGAGTAAATTTGGTAAATTATATTAAGGTAAGGGACCTCAGGATAAAACAGCTACAAAGAAACTTTCTGGTAACAGCAAGGAGCTGCAAAGGCTGGACAGTCAGCTGTAAAACATTTGCTGTTGGTTCAATGCAGCCAACAAAGAAAGTCGTTAACAACTCACTGTTAGTTCCTGGGTCTCAACAAACACAAAGGCAGTCAACTGTTGCTGTTAACTAACCTTATCTTAAAGAAACAAAATACCACCATCAATCAGCTGCTTCACAAACCTCTGGAAATTTCCCTTTCAGACCACCCCCAAAGACAATTCCTCCAGGCCCACAGTGGATCCCTCTTATAAAAACACCCCTCTAATTTCATGCCTCTTTGCAACAGACAGCAGACTTGCTGCTGTCCTGCCTGTTGTGTCCTTTAACACGTTTTCCCTTTAATCTACCTTCCTTGATTCATAACTGTCTTGGTGAATTCTTTCTTTCTTTTTTTTTTCCCCTGAGTTGGAGTCTCATTCCATTGCCCAAGCTGGAGTGCAGTGGCACACTCAGAGCAATTCCAGCGTTGACTTGCTGGGCTCCGGCAGTCCTTCCTCCTCAGCCTTCCAAGTAGCTGGAACTACAGGTGAGCTTCCACGCCCAGCTAATTTTTGATTTATTGTAGAGATGAGGTCTCGCCAAGTTGCCCAGGCTGGTCTCGAACCCGTGGGCTCAGGCAATCTACTTGCCTCAGCCTCCCAAAGTGCTGGGATTACAGGCTGAGCCACCGAGCCTGGCTGGTGGATTCTTTTAATCCTCCGTGACTCAACCCAGCCTCACAAGCAGCCCGCACCTAGGACTTCCCCAGAGTACTCCTGCCTTCCTCCTACCCGCCTCAGCTGAACACAAAGGCCTGAGGGGGGCTTCCAGCAGCTCTGGCACTCGCTGAGGGATGTGTGTGTCTCCCCACTAGCCGCCAGGAAATCTCAGACCTGGCTGTACTTCCTCTGGGCATCGGAGAGTGGCAGCATTTCCTACCAGAAGTGAGGACGGTGCTGAGGTAGGGTGATTCCCTCCCACTCCAGCCCCCCCCCAATCTTCCTTGAAGCCTCCCAGCTGCCCTCCTCCGGCTCCAGGAAACCAGAGGGTTACTCCCTTTTCTCTTGGGCTAAAAAGAACAGGGAAGGGTTGTGCGTCCTATATTTTATTACCGTTTAGATTCCTTTATCCTTCATTTTCATGTTGAGTAATAGTGCAAAAGGAAAAATGAAAACTTAAAGGCTTAAAAATATACTCGCAAAATCAATAAGAAATTCACAACAGCCAGGCATGGTGGCTCATGACAGCAATCCCAGCACTTAGGGAGGTGGAGGCAGAGGTGAGAGGATCAGTTGAGCCCAGAAGTTCAAGACTAGCCTGAGCCACATAGTAGGACCTCATCTCTACAAAAAATTTAAAAAAATTAGCCGAGCATGGTGGCACATGCCTGTAGTTTTAGCTACTTGGGGGGCTAACACAGAAGGATTGCCTGAGCCCAGCAGGTCGAGGCTGCAGTGAGCCCTGATGTACCACTGCACTCCAGCCTGGCAACAGAGGGAGACTCTGATGAAAAAAAAAAGAAAAAGAAAAAGAAATTCACAACAAAAACTTTACCCATAACAATATCATCCCAGCCTCCCCCAGTCATATCCACCACACCCTACAGACAGGAAGAGTATGAAATCCTAGACCTCCCACAAAACAAAGGGCTTCCTTCCCCAGCACCCAGGCCTGAGGGGACAGAGGGAACTGTCTGGAACTGGCAGGCTCCAAAGGAAGACGAAATGCCAGGAAGGCAAGAGAGGCTCTCACAGGCCCTGGTCAACGTCAGCTCTGGGGTGAGGTGAGGGTAGGGAGTGAACTGGTGGCAGAAACTACAGTAAAGGGCTGTGATGCTCATTTTTTGGAAGATACAAAGATGAGGCTGGACCTAAAGTTAAACCTAACGCTTGGGTTAGTTTACCTGCTTCCATCTGAGTGAGGCAGACAACTGCAGTAAAAGAGTGTTGACTTCAGTATCACTCAGCTGGACCCAAAGACACAGTAAACCACTGCCTTGTAACAACTTTTCTAGACCTGCATGGACAACATGGCAGCCATGGCAACACGACCGGCTATTTGAGCACTTGGAGCATGGCTGATCCAATTGAGATGTGCTGTGAATGAAAAATGCAACCTGGGATCTGAAGATAACACACAAACATGTAAAATACCTGATTACTAATTTTTATAATATTGATTATACGTTGAGATGGTTTGGATATACTGGGTTAAATGTTACTAAAATTAATTTCATATATTAAAAAAGTTTTTAACATGGCTGCTAGTAAATTTAAAATTACATATGTGTCTATGTGCCTTGCATTTGTGGCTCATATTATATTACTCATGGACAGTGTGGCTGTAGAGCAACTGTTTTTTGTGGGGTTTTTTGAGACAGGGTTTCACTCTGTCACTCAGTCTGGAGTGTAATGGCACTGTCATGGTTCACCACAGCTTCCACCTCCACCTCCTGGGCTTCCACCTCCACCTCCTGGGCTCTAGCGATCCTCTTGTCCCAGCGCCCCCCCCATTAGCTAGGACTACAGGTGTGTACCAAAATGCCCAACTAGTTTTTAAAACTTTTTTGTAGAGATAAGGTCTTGCTATGAGGCAGAGTAGCTGGTGCAGGTTAGGCTTAGATAGAAACGTAGGCATGTTTTAGGAAGCACTCAGATATATTTTATTCTGGCAGGCCAAGCTGGAATGTGAACTCGGCAGCCTATCCCACCCCCTCAGCAAATCTAAAGAAAACCCTCTCAGATGTAAGAACATGACAGCCCAACCTGTCAACTCATGGTTTAGCATAATCATCACTGAAAGTCTATCAGGTTCCCTGTCAAAGGTAGAAAACTGAATACCACCCCTTAAGCCACAGAGATGATAATAAAACCACTTTTTAGCTCACGAGCTTGTGAATTGGAAAAGTCTGGCAGGTCTCTTGCAAAAGACAATGTGTTCTGGAAAAGACTACCCCTCCTTCCCTCAGAAGCCAAGAGATGTCAGTTTCTCAGGAGTGGCAGTTACCTGTGTCTCA